AAAGTGTTAAAACTAAAAGTCAGCTAATATTTAAAAATCAGGAGATTCCACCATCAAAATCTGTATTTCTAGCTTCTCTGGATGGGTGACATCAGAGTAGGGGGCACAGGGGGCAGTGCTACCCTGTGTGGCCATCAGGTGGCTCCTGATGGCCAGGAGCATGCCCACAGGAAGCCAGGCAGTGGCTTCCCTGGTGACAGGGCAGGGCCACCTGCAGCTCCTTTGCTTGTCCCACAAGTGCTGCATCCTGAGACCACAGGAAGCAGCTCCACAGAGCCCTGGGAAGCCACATCCACCTGTCCACTGGCCTCTCTGTTCCTCTCTTGCCCAGGAAGGGGAACTGTGGCATATCCCTGCAACCACACCTTCCCAGCCCAGGGCCCCAGCCCAGTCAGCCCCTTCTCATTGGGTGTCTCTAGCTCCCACACCCCAGGCTGGTCCATCTGGGGTCTATACATTTGCCAGGAGCCTGCAGAAACATAGCCCAAAATGAAGAGCAATAACATTCCTGAAACTAAATCAGTGAAAGTGATGGATACCCAAATTACCCTGATTTGATTCATTCACATTGTATGCCTGTATCAAAACATCACATATATCCCATAAAGATATACAGCTATCCTATACCCATGATGATTAAAAAGAAAAAAAAATCAGTACGAGTTTGAATCAAGGACTATGTAACATCCTATGGCTTTAGCATTTTTTCTTTTTTGAGTCAGAGTCTCATTATGTCACCCTCAGTAGAGTGCTGTGGCATTATAGCTCACAGCAACCTCAAACTCTTGGGCTTAAGCAATTCTTTTGCCTCAGCCTCCCGTGTAGCTAGGACTACTGGTGCCCACCACAACACCCAGCTATTTTTTTTGTTGTTGTAGTTGTCATTGTTGTTTGGCAGACCTGGGCCAGGTTTGAACCCACCGGCTCCCTGCCGGCCCCAGTATATGTGGCTGGTGCCCTAGCCACTGAGCTACAGGGGCCAAGCCACCTATGGCTTTGATTTTGTGTTTTAGTTTGGCTTTTTGAAAACTATGACACCCAGAAACTATTAGTATCCATAGGTTTGGTTTTTCTCATTTTTCAAGAATTCCTAGGATAAGCCGGGTGCAGTGGCTCACAGTAATCCTAGGACTCTGGACTCTGGGAGGCTGAGGGGTGGATCATCTAAGCTCAGGAGTTTGAGATCAGACTGAGCAAGAGTGAGATCCCATTTCTACTAAAAAAAAAAAAAAAAAGAAAGAAAGCATGGTGGTAGGTACCTGTAGTACCAGCTACTTGGAAGGCTGAGGCAAGAGGGTCACTTAAGCTCAACAGTTTGAGATTGCTGTGAGCTATGATGCCACTATACTCTAGCCAGGGCAGCATAGTGAGAATCTGTCCCCCACTCCCCACAAAAGAAAGAATGAATTTCTAGGATACTGAGAAATCAGTTAATTATAGCTGCAATGGGTTCTTCAGGGCCAAATGATTTCAAAAGCAAAATGAGGGGAAATATTTCAAATATTTTCATTATTACTATATAAAATATAAATTATATATATGCACATTTAAAATATGACTGAGATGACATGGGCCCGGAAGGCTCACCCCAAAAGAGACCCAACCCTGACAGGGCACAGTGATGAAAATCCACTCCCTACAGCCCTTTGCCAGGGTCTTGGTGTGCCGTAAACCCCAGCCCCATACACACTTGGATGTGGCATGTTCAAGTCCAACCTAGGAAGAATTTATTATTGGCCTGGGTTGAGTATAAACTCACACACATCTGTAAATCAGAATGTAAGACCATGGCGATTAAACCTACAGAAAACTCAGAGTTTGTCAGAAGGCTCTAATTGGTGGTACCCTGAGCTGAAACCAGCCCTTAGATGTGCTTTGTTTGAAGTGCATAATTAAAAAAAAAAAAATCTGAGCCAACTTTTAATATAGGGAGTTCCCCATGAAGATTTAGCTTTCTGACATCTATTATAAATAATGGCAGCTAAGTGCCTGTGGCTCAAGTGGCTAAGGAGCCAGCCACATACACCTAAGGTGGCAGGTTCCAATCCAGCCTGGGCCCGCAAAACAACAATGACGGCTGCAACCAAAAAATAGCCGGGCATTGTGGCGGGTGCCTGTGGTCCCAGCTACTTGGGAGGCTGAGGCAGGAGACTAGCTTGAGCCCAGGAGTTGGAGGGTGATGCGACAACACTCTCCCCAGGGGGACAGCTTGAGGCTCTGCCTCATAAAAATAAAAATAATGGCGGCAACTGGTCGAAACTATGTAGAGGTTATCCCTTAATTTCTTAAAATTGTTAAAGGTAGTCCATTTTCAGGATATACAATTCGAAACGTGTAAGAGGTCTCATTTCCACCCCATCCTCCAGCCTCCCCATTCCCTCCTCAGAAGCAACCACTGCTGCCACTTTCCAAACTCAGTAGGGAGAACTTTCCCGCTCACATATGACAGCACACTCCGGGATCCCTACTCCTTGCTTTTTTCCCTTGCAGGGTATCTGAGTAATATCTGCATCTTCTACGGGAGCTTGCTCCAGTCTTTTCAGACAAGACAACAGTTCTCCGGTTTGCCCCATTGCCACTATGCCTTATGGCCTCACAGCTGTCCGGCCGCACATATTGCGATTCCTGCCTGCGCCCCCCCCACCCCGGGCATCGGAGTTTGCAGACGCGAAGGACAAAGCGTCCCCCTTCCCAGACACCCTGCACAGCCTCGCCGGCTCTCGGAAGCATGTAGTTCCTAGGATCCCCAACAGAGGGAGACAGCACGCCACTCCCCAAACCGGCAAGGGGTCTTCCCAGAGACGCTCAACCTTGAGTCTGGGGGAGAGATGCGGTTCTCACAGACACAAAGACCCCGGTAGCTAGACTGGCCCCCAGGCCTTCCCTTCCTCTGCTCCTATCCCCTCCTGAGCCTTCTGCTTTGAGCCCCACCCGGGTCCTCCTCTGGGGACTGGCCCCTCCTTGATGAGGTGGGAGGAGGCCTTTTCCTGGTCCCGGGCCTGGGATTGAGAAATTGCCCCAGGGAACTACATAAGGAGAACAGGCCACTAGGCGGGCATTCTTTGCCCTTATCCCTGCCTGAAGAAGAGTAGGGGGTCCTCCCCCCTGCTGCCCTGCCCCTGTGGGCTAGGCCTCAGCAGAACCTCAATCTGAACCCCTGTACCCATCCCTGGCCTGGCTCCGGCGGCCCCCTCCCACTCCATGATGGTGTTGGGGGTCGCCTGGGTCCAGCTGGTGGCCATCGCAGAGCCACCCCTCTCTGGCCTTGCCCCTCCTTGTGACCCCAATCCTCCTCCAGCGGCTCAAAGGAGCCTTGTTTTCCATCCAGCCCCAGACAAAAGTCCCTCTGTCTGAGAAGGCGGAATTGAGGGGAGGGGAACCCCCAACTGGGACCATGGGGGGGCCTGCACAGATCCCAGCGGAAGAGATGCCTGGAGGAGGCCGCACAAGCAAGGAGGAGGGAGAGGAGCTGCATAGGACAGGGGGCTTCATCTGGAGTGCAGTGGCAGGCACCCCCACCCCGGCACCCCATCCCTAGACCCCAGACATCTGGCTCCCCGCACCCTTGGGGTCAGCTTTGGCTGAGAGATTCTGGCCTGGTGCTGGGGGCCAGTGCTCAGTTTCCCAGGATGTGGGAGGAGATTGTGGTCTGGTCTAAGGCCTCAAAGCCCCCATGAGACCCCTACTCATGTTCCAGCTTCTCCCCTATGTTCACCTCTGCTCCCATTTCCTGACTTTGGTCATACCAGCATCTTTGGCTGACCCTCAAGCCATGCTGACAGCAAGATGTGGTCTGGAAGGGGACTTTGAGCCCCCATAATTGCCAACAATCATTCCTCCAAGCAAAACACGAAATCTAAGTACAATAAGTTGGGTTGTTACACAAGTGCCATCAGGTTGTCACCTTTCTCCGTGGCCCTGAGGGATAGAAGCTTTTTTTTTTTTTTTTTTTGAGACAGAATCTCACTATGTCACCCTTCGTAGAGTGCTGTAGCATCACAGCCCACAGCAACCTTAAACTCTTGGGCTTAAGAGATTCTCTTGCCTCAGCCTCCCAAGTAGCTGGGACTACAGTTGCCTGCCACAATACCTGGCTATGTGTGTGTGGTTGTCATTCTTGTTCTAGGTAGGCATCCTCAAACTACTGCCTGGCCTGTGGGCCACATGCAGCCCGCCTAGGACATTTATTTGGCCCACCGGGTGTTTTTTTTTTTTTTTTTT